TGGTAAAAAAACAATCCGAGTCAGATTTGACATGGTACATAAAATACTAAAACTAATATCTGTTACTACAGATGTATTATTATCAACAGGAGGCGTGTACCGGATTAATTGCTCTTGTGGCACATGCTATGTTGGTCAGACAGGACAAATGGTCAGCATGCAACTAAAAGAACTCCAAATGAATATTAAATATTCCCAAACACAACTGTCGGCAATGGCGTAATACGCGTGGCAAGAAGGACACTCAAGTGGTTTTGATAATCTGTGCAAAACTAGTTACTGGCCAAGACTAATTAGAAAATCTATCGAAATAGAGAGAAATCTGAAGAACTTTAACCATTCGGATATCTATAGGCTTAGCACTGCCTGGAAGCGAATCAAGTCACGCACTTTAACTGCATTCCAATACAGGTCATCATACCTGGTCGATAGCACACAACAGTTACTGCGATTCTTGTGCACACAACAAGCGGCAGGATGTACAAGCACGATGTACTAGCACAATGTGCATGCATAATTTATGTTGATTACCAAATGAATAACCCAACTGGTAATGTAATGCCTTTGTAATTGATATGCATTCATTAGCCCCCGCGCCCGCCCTGGCCTTTGCACCTAACTGGCTCACAGGCGACGACATCACATTTGTCCCACTAATAAAGAACGAAACAGGCGGATTTCCCCACAAATCTGGCTGTCACCTGATGATGCGAGTTGTAATTACTGGCGAAACGTCGTACTCGAATTGTGAATGTTGTGGGTTTGCTCTCCAACACACACTGGTGTGCTGTACTAGTAAGGGATTGGCATGTTCTGTCTACTTGACAAACCTTACTAGTTGGCTGTGGTCGGGTGGTTGCAGGTTTAGCGACACATTTATATTTACGTGAACTAACCCAAAAAATCTCTTATGGATAATATTGGTCGCGAAAGCCTACGTGTTAAACTATAATAGCAATATAGGGTCCTAGGCCAATTGCCTCCTGCATGAAAGCCTCTACACAGTGTCAGTGTATATCTCAGCATACTTCTCCATGCTTGTCATAGCGAGTTTGCCGAAGAAGTGGGATCCACAACTGGAATATCCTCTTGCCACTGATGTTAGCCATGGCTGGGAATGGAACTCGGGTAACCAGATTCACAGCAAAACCACTGTGTCACCTCGACTTTCAAGTCAAAGTGATTTCCTGTTCAAATGAGTATTGATACATCGTTTACATCTCCTGTTTACACAGCCTGGAGCCAGTGGTGGCCATTCCTATGGCAGGGGCAAGTCTCTCCAAAGGACAACTTCTGTTGACTTTCCCACAAAGCGGTGCTCATTTTGATTGGGGTGAGTCAACCCCCACCCAGGATGTTTACTCAGAACCTTCTTTTTGCGAGCCGCTCGCTCTACCGCTGAGCCACATGGCATGGCTATAAGTACTGTCCACGGTCTATTGTTCAGAGCCACCGCCACCTTGTTGCTTTGCCTTCCGTGAATGCAATGTCACACCATCTCATTTTGTGTTCATTCCATTTGTTGGTTCTGAAAAACACAGACGGACCACCTCCTGAGCGCCACAGCTGTCAGATCAAACACTTTATGGGAAATTACCACTGGAAATGGTCGTCACCCCTTGTCAAAGGCATTATATGCTCTCATTACAAACGATGATGACATCGCTTGGCAGTAAACTACAATAATGCACAGGAGCAAAACGTTGCCGTACACAGCAATTTTAATAAACGTTCCAGCTGGATTTATTAGGAAATGTGTTGAAATAATTTATTTAAAATTGGACCACGGAAGGTGTAGTGGTGCTCACTAAAATAATAATGAATCCCCTAATCAACACTGGATGATAATGTGGAATGCATTAAAACTGATATGGAAATATGGAAAATAAGGACCTCATGACCTATTGTTCACATGGACGTACGGAAAGTGGGTGGCCGCTGCTCGTATACGCGAAGCACATTTGGTTTTCATTGTTGGCCGAAATGTAAAAGGAGAAAGGGCTGTGGCTATGTATAGGACCTCTCGCGTTCACGCTAGCCCAGTGGCATCCTTACGAGAACCTTCGAGGCATTAGGAGAGAGGCCAAGAAAGGTGGTCAGAGGCCCGTGACGGGCTCTGCTGGTTCAGGGGCTGTGTGCCCGCGTGCCCCCCGCCCCCACTCCCTTGGGACACCGTTTCATCGCCGCTTGCAGCGTTGCGCCGGCATCGCGTCGCAAGAGCTCGCAGCGTCATTTAGCGAGTTCGACGCACTTCAAATGTAGCTTAGAATTTGTATGAATTCGGTGGGCGCCTTACCCGACGTTTGATAACCACTCAAAAACTTGGAATCGAATGAGTCATCCATAAAAAGAGACTAAGCACAATTTACCCCAATATGGTTAAATGAAGCTGCGACTTCTTTAAGTGCAGGCCGATCACCTTGCGCCGTTGGGCCGAGGAACTCCCCGGGAGCCGCGGTGCGCGTTATTTGTGTAGCTCCTCGAGTGGCGAGCTGCGTAGCCGAGTCCCGGGGAGGGAGTGGGGACCGGGCCCTGCGTGGGTTTCTGTCTGACGAGCGCCACGCGACCGAGCGCCACGCGATCCCCACGGCAGATTATGCTGCTCATTAAACCTTGTGCAGATTAATTAAAAGTGCATGCAGAACGAGAACAGGGAGGGTGAAAAAAAATGATGGCTTTATTAAAAAAAAACGCATCGGGAATAAACCCGCAAAGTCACAGTGCTGTGCCGCACTCACTAATGACCATTTAATTGTCTGGTAATGCTGCTAAGCCTATCCATTTTAAAACCCATATTTGGACATACCATCGCTTGGACTTGGACAGATTAAATCATTTTAATATGAATGAAAAAAAACCCATGAGAGATTGATGAAATTAATTATAAATGGGTCAAGCAGGAGGTAGATTTAGCAAAATGATCCAATATCCTTGAGCAAATAATTTGACTGTCCGATTCGCCAGCATAAGGACGGCTTGATCCCAACCCGGGCACGCCGTCTCTGCTAATCAACATCCATTTGTATGGCAAAAATAAATTACTGTTGTACAAGATGCGCACAGACTAGTCGTACTCTCAAAACATTCACGCGCACTTAAATTAGCTCTTTAAAACATCATGTCATGACCAGGCCGATACATCACCCACACTGGCACCGTGCCACTGTGTTCGACTTATCCCCATAAAATATTTAAGTGGTTTAAAGCCACCTTAATAAAGTTTTAATGGTGGCTGTGATATTGATATAGATGTCTAAAATGAAATGCAACTCTATGGCTTTATGCACGTAGCATGTGTTCGGCCGTATTTGTATATTCCATTGCCTGTCAGGATATCACAGGGTGCATGTAGAGAGAACAATAGGTGCACATGCAGCACATTTAAAATAATAATGATACCAATCGTTTGTACAGGAAAGCCTCACTCGGACTTTGTTTCTCAAAGCCAAGAGTTCCATTGCTGCGCGAGGAGGTTAGATGCTCAATTATGATTCTCTCCCCTTTAGCTTCTACTCTGTAACTATGCTCTCGTCACATCCACTGTCCTTTATCTCAAAACACCACATCCTCCCATCTCACCCTCAATCTCGCTCTGCTCCATCTACCCTGTTCCAGTGGTATTTTATTAGCCCTTATACTCTATGGGTCTCTGTGTGAGTCTGTGGGTCTCTGTGAATGTTTGTATATCTATGTGTGAGTATGAGTTTCTGTGCAAGTCTATTTGTCTCTGTGTGTCCATTAGTCTCTTGTCCTTCAAATTTATCTACCCTCTCTTCTCAATGATAACCCAAAATATCTAAATATCTCCTCCGTTAAGATTCTCCAGAACATTAGTAATCCATTGCTAAGGGTCTTAGCTTTTTCATTCCTCCTCAATGCCAGAGACATTCCCAGCATTCTCATCTGTCTTTTCAAGTGCCGAGTCTCGGGACTTTATCAGCCGTGTCTCTCATTGGAATGTTTGGCTGATTTCACTCATGAAAGCAAAGAAACCCAGTTTCTCACACATTCGTGGGGCTAACGCTCACCACTGCGTTCTGCTGGCCACCTCGCAACCGCACACCTACAACACCTGGCAAGCCCCGGTGGTCACCCATCCAAGTGTTAACTGGGTTCAACTGCGCTTTGCTTTTGAGATTAAACAGGTTGGGAAGCATTAATGGTGCTTTGATCGTGGGCAAAGCAAAAGTGAATTTTCAAGAGTTCAAACTTGATTTGAAGCTTTCATGACTGCAGGAATTACTCTTTGGTTCTTTCGGTAAAGTCACGTAGTAAGAAAATAAATTAAATAATATAATACGACGTTTAGATTGCAACACAAGCAACCGTCATCAGGTGGAACTAAATTTAAGAGAGAGACAAAACACAGACACGGAGACACAGACAGACACACAAGCAGAAATGGGAGGGGTGGGGCTGGGTGGAGAGGGTGGGGAGGGGCTGGTCACCCCGTGGTGCCCTTATAAAACTCAACGTTTAACCTACTCACGCTGGCTTCTGCCCACCCTCACAGTCGGGCATATTTGCGGAATACACCACGCCGCCGTTGACCCTGCAGGCCATTGACCGAGCAACCCAACGTTCCTACCAGCTCCCTCCGCAGGAATGTGTCAATGTGTCGATACGACGTTTCGATTGCAACACAAGCAATCGTCATCAGGTAGAAAGAAAACCTAGTTTCAAGAGTTCGCTCGCCCATTGCAGCCACCTCAAATATTTGTGAAACGATTGTATCTTTACATGTTTATCTAGCGGTAGATTCTTAGCCATTTTTTTACTTAATAAAATTTGCAGATGGACAGTCCACCGGATGAACACCAATCACAATTGCAATGCAGCATTTTCCAAGAAAGTGATGATAAACAAAAGAGTGAGAGAAAGCCTCTGGCCGCATCTCGGTTTCATCGCAAGAACTGCAGCGGGAAACAGCCTTGAGAAAATGTGCAGAAAATTGTCTGTGATCACACATAATGGAATATTCAAACACCGGTATCCCATACCTCTCTTTGCCAGCATGAGACAAGATATTTTCAACTCCTGCACACACGCGCACACACACACGCAAACACATGCAGAAAGTTTCACGTTATTATCATTATTTACTTCATAAGCTATAAATACATTTTCAATAAACACAAACCCTCAAAGACATTTTTTTTTTACAGAAATGAAAAAAGCCAACGGCTACAAAATGCACTTTATTTATTTATTTATTATGAATAGCAGCGAGGGAGAGAGACGGTTTCAGCACCAATACGAGCTTTGGGGCAGCCATCATTTTCGTAATGGGCATTCAAGTCGTCACTTTGTGAAATGGCGCGAGGATAATGTGAGAGGGGCCAATGTAATTTCAGTCGGGGAAAATTTTTTTTCTCATCTTAGTTGTTTTATTTCGCTCGCAACGGAACCTGATGGAACCGCCGATATTCCCATCTCGCGAATTACGCTCGTCAGGTCATTATGAAGTGGCTGCTCTGACTTCGACGACGCGAGCGATGAGTGAGCGACACGGAGGTCTCCTGGGTGTGAGCCTGAGCCAAGACAACCAGAGCCGTCCACAGGGGCTGGGCAATTCTCACTGTGGGCCCCCCGACGCCTTCAAACTAAACCAGAAGAATTACATCTGAAACCGTGACGTCGAAACGCGGGGCCCCCTAAAGCGGCGGGGGGCCCTGGGTGGTCGCCCCGATTTGCCCTGTGGACAGCTCTGAAGACAGCAAGCAGCTTTCCCAAGGAGGCCTCATTCATATATAGAAGCATTTTTATTCCATCTGCTAGAGGTTTAATTTTTGTTTTATATCAACAACACTGCAGGTCGGATGTCCTTGTGGTGTTTACATTTTTAATTTCGTGAAATGGATGCTTTTCCCCCACCAGGATTAATAATTAATTTGTTTAAAAGGTATTTTAAAACCTGAGATTAAAGCTGCCTGAACACAGCGAGCGAGGTCGGGGTGGGAGAGGGACGGGCAAGGGGATGGAAAAACCTGTCGGTTCGCGCTCTCCGGCCAAAGTGTGGTTGCCACCCCTGAGATACACAAAACTGGGACATATCATGGGGAACAAGAATTTCTCACAGTACTACAAGGTATTGTGAGATATTCCTAAAAGCATTGTGGTCTATCATAATTATTATCATTAGGCAACTGGCCAAAACCAGAAGCATTAACTTGCTGGCAAGACTTTCCATGACAGCACAATCCTGCGAAAGGCAGTAGAGGTGGAAACCATGAACAACACATTGTACGAACTGAAGGCGCGAATCACGCTTTGAACAACACCCACTTCTCTGTTGGGGTGATGTTCGAAAGTAGCACCTACGAAGGCCAGCACGACACACATGTCCCTCGAGTGGCAATGTTTACACATTTTACCAGGTACTCATTTGAGCTTCAGTCGACCTAGGAGTGGCCCTGGGCTAGTTTAGATAATCGTTACTGGTATTGGCCACAAACAGGAATCGAACTTGGGTCACCAGGTTGAAAACTAATTTGTTTAAAACTCCTTCTTGTGTTTAGTTTGTTGTCCTTCCCCTGCACCTCCGATTAGCACGGTTGGCTATGTACGGTGCGAAAGAAGTTCAACACACATATGTGGCACAGTGCACAAACCGCTGCCCCACTGATGCCCCCCCACTCCCCGCACACAAACGCGCGCAGGCAAACGCAGACGTATGGCGAACTCCGGCCGTCCTCCCTCCGCTCGCTCACCTCGTCACCCAGCGCCAGAGCCTGGTAGTAGATGGCGTAGACCTTCGAGGAGGCGAGGGGCGCGTTCCAGTAGCCACGGTAGGTGTGGTTGTCGCCAATGATGAAGCGCCGCCCGCCCGCCAGGTTCTCGGGCAGCAGCTCTGCCGAGACGTAGTAGGGGGTGCGGCGCGCCCGCGCCTGGCGGAACGACACGGGCTCCAGGAAGCAGTCCGGGTGCTCGGGCGCTCGGCGAGACTTCTTGGGGGGCTCTTCACGCACCACCAGCTGGTACACGCTGTGGGGGGCAGTGGGGGACACGGTGGTTCAGCGAGAGAGACGAGGGAAGCCGGAGGGGTGGAGGATGGTGCGGGAAGCTGGTAAGCTGTGTTTCATTAGAATGACAGGAAAAATGATCCCCTGCTCAAATCAGCATCGATGTGTTGGCGCTCATTTCCTGTTCACAGCCCTGAGTCAGCAGTAAAAATTCGATGTTCCTCTGGTGGCGGCGAGGGATGACAAGTCAACCCCTATTCAGGATGTGAACTCGTAAACTTCCGATTGCGAGCTGCTCGCTCTACCGCTGAGCCACCCGGCCCGAATGTGTTTAGATTTTATTTACAGGTCGTACCGCGTTTTGTTGGGCACAACGTGCAATGTTTCACTCCACGCACTGCGAGCTTCTTCAACAACTGAATCGAGCTCAACCACTAAACACACAATGGGCCTCTCCCCTTCCTAGGCAGGTGAAGTGCATGCTGGGAATGCACCTGATGGGTGCGCCCCGGCCTTGTGCAGGCTTGAGCATCACGGTGGCCGTGGTGTCAGAGTACTCCAGCAGCGGGTCGCTCTCGTACTGCGGAAGTCGTGGGGCTTGAGGTGTGCGGGGAAGGAGGCGGAGGGGCGTGGGGTACAGGGTCAAGGGTTAGGTAGCGCTGGAGAGGCCTGCCAACCCAAGGGTTTCCTGGTCGAGCGTCAAGTTGTATATTGCTCCAACCAAACATTTATCTTCAGAACTGAACATGAATCTACATGATTATCATCACCACAATGATAATCAGCAGCTGAAATGAAGAATTTACAGGCTGGATAACGGCCTCCCAAAACCCTCACCATCTCTCACGGTCCATTGTGGAAACGGTTGTCATGTGTTCATCACCATGTGCAATGTGAGACGTGTCCAGTGCATTCAGGAAAAGAAATCAAACTCTCCACCGGTGCCTTTTAGGGTGTTTTGTTTACTTAAAAAAAATTACAGGCACTTTCCTAAATTCAAGAACACAAATTACTATTTTTGATATTAAAGAGTGCCACTTAGAATGTTTAGCCAACCGACACGCCGTTCCGCCGAGTTCTGGGCGACGATCGCATGATTAAACACGAAGCAGTGCCCTGCGCGCGCGCTGCTCATCACGCAGTAATTCCCACCGCTGTCGGGGAGGCTGCCGCTCGGCTCCAGCGTTTTGGGCACGCATGCGCGAGCCGTGTTGAGACATTTTGATGTCAGATTTTCATAAAATTCACAACGCTGCCCACGAACCTGAGGCCCCGTCAATGAGAAGTGACAGAAAGCGAGCGTTTCATTTGGGGATGGCAGCAATGAGCGATCTCGATCGCCTGCACTAACGGCCCTGTAGAGGTGTCTGCAGCGAGCAGTGCGGAGTGAATAGATCAGCGCATCTTAATAGCGTGCGTGCGGCTCTGAAATGGCGGCGAGTGTATAGACACAGCCCACGTGTGTGTGTGTGTGTTTTCACGAGGGGCAGCCAACACTGGGGGCTCACGGTGAGCGAGGGAATCATTAATGGTGAATAGTGTACTTGTCGGTGGTGAAGGATTTAGCTGCTGAGTTATGCATGGTGCCATTTAAACCTTATGGCGGGACCCCGGGGTCCCATAAGTCCCCGGCTCTTGCGTGAACTGCGTTGTGACATCATTGTATGTCTGTTGGAGGCGAACGATATGGCAACCTGTTCCTCTCGACGAGCTCTACACGATGCGCTAATCAAAGTTGAAAAGTTTTGTTTAAGACTACGGCAACGACGGGCGCTTAGTGACGAGCGAGAGGATTGATTCCAGGTGGATTGTGGCGTTTATGTGTGCGGTGGGACGGAAAATAAATGTATTAATTACGATTTTGACTTACGTTTATTCGGGACCCCGGGGTCCCACCATAAGGTAAATTTATACTGCTGGGTAGACAGCCTTGGGGGAATGTGGGAACCTTGCACCACGATTCCAATTGCTGTTGTGGGCAACAGAATTGAATCTACACCATAGGACGCATCCCCAAAAATGTGTCAATGAACAGTCGAGTGCCGAGCGTTGGCAGGTGAACGTTCATCTGTGGGGCGAAGACCAAACGCCGGCACGCGCGCTCACCGGAGATCTTGGTGGTAAACAGCACGGTGGTCTCGAGGCCGAAGCCCTTGGTGGTGCTGGCACGCAGCGAGAAGGAGTAGGTGGTGCCAGGGCGCAGGCCGCCAAAGAGGTGGCGCGTCTCGCTCCACGGCTTGAGCACGACCTCGCTCCCACTCTCCAGCACGTAGTCTGGGTCGCGCGAGTGTAAGGCGCTGTACGACACCTGCGCAGTGACACACCAAGCGCGAGTCAACCTCTCCCAGCGTTACCAACTCAGAGATTTTCAGTGTTGGATGTTTCAGCAAAAACTTTTTGGCAAAGCGACAAATCCAGCAACTATCTGGGATGAGGACAGGATGCAGATTTTCAGGTGATCCCAGGAGTGTTGTGTTACGGATCCTGTATCAGACGACTATATTTCATTCACTGGCTAAACTATGGCACTGTGGACCACCTTAGGTCTTAAAGTTACTTTTTGACGAGGTCCGTGTGGCAACACTATCTGCCCGTTGCCGTCTCATCACTTACAACATATGGGTACTCGGAACATCAGTGAACAGGTCTTGGGCCTCTGCTAGGTTGATTCAACATTGGCACTGAAGAGACAAAGGCGGTTGAGCGTGGTTTTTGGCCACACCACCACCTGGTCTGCCAGAATGGCCTTCATAGGTGTCCGCTAAAAGTGCGGTATTCGTGCCTAGAACCGCCCGAGTCCAGACGCTGCCATCTCGGTGCACGGGGCGGTGCTCCGTGACCGGCTGTGCCACGATCGGCCGCACGGCAACGGAGCGGCGTGCTGCCTGTGCGGGTCACGCACGCGTGCGTACGGTGTTGTGTGCATTTTTATTTGTGGGCACATGAACAGTAATCTCACCAAAACCTATTTCTCTATTAATGGAAAAGCCGTTTCTCACTTCAGAGTGGAATTAAATACCGCAAATATAAAACTAATTTTCTCTTTCAGAACATATTTTATGGCACAAAGAGAAATCGGGGAAATTAGATTTTTTTATTTTATTTAACCTCGACCTCTCCACACGGCAGTAGCGGACGATTCCTCTTTAACACAATGGCTGCGGTTATTACGGTCGGTGTACCGCACGGCACGCTGCTTTTAAAGACCCATCAAAACATGCTCTGCTCCATGATAGCTTTTTCCGTGGAAACGAAATCAATTTTCTAGACGTGGCCACGTTTGAAAGGGGACGGACACACAACAATATACAAATAAATAAATAAACATTTAATGGAGCTTTACAAAAAGGAGGAATGATTATGGAACGTGGGCTGCAGCGCATTGGGCAGCACAAAGCGCAGACCCAGGGCTATCACAACAGCATCGGTAACAATCGCAGTCGCAGGATGTTCTGCAACACGATTGGGGCTCGGGAGGCGCTGGGGTGGGTGCTCCAACAAAGAAACGTCATTTTGGCCCCTCGTGTTCGCTCTCCCACTTAGCGCAGTGATCCCCACGTCCTGGTCTGTCAGCGGCCGCCGATGGCACCCAATGCACCTGCTACTCATGAGGGCCGATGGTGAGGCACGGCCGAGAGCTCGCGCATTCGTCGCTTGTTGCAGAGGTTCGTGGTTCGAGCCACGCAGCCGCCTAACTGCGCACGTACACGGAGGCTTGGATGTACTCATTATGAATTCAGTAATGTCACTGTTGACTCTGTTGCCGGGGCCACCATTCAACAGTTTGCTCACTCGTGCCGTCACATCGCGCTCATCACTGGTAGTGAGTTTTAAGTTTTTCCTTGGGTCGTTTCAGTTATCGGTTTCATCCTCGCATATCCTGGTAAGAGACGTAGGAACGATTATAGAGACATATAGATTGCATGTAGATTAAACCAACAGGCTCATGAACGCATGAAAACATAAATTTGTCACATTCACGAAACAAGGGACAGTTTAAATTCGAGTTGTTATTTTCATCATCAACCCCTCGAGGGCAGGAGTCTCTCCAACGCGGAGCCGAGTGATCTACGCACGAGGATCGTGACACCAGCACTAACCCACTGGGCTGAGTGATGTCAGAACAATGGCAGAGGGATTTTAACGACCACTTTGCAGCAGACGGCAAGCTTACATAACACTGCTGCGCAAAAAACTACTGAGCGGTTGCAGGGATGAAACCCTGATGCCTGGGCAAACCGGTGGAGTGATAATCCGGTCATCCTTGCGACTTCACAGCCGGCTTCCTGGAGAACGTTAATTCGATTCTAGATTGCGCCAGACTGAATCAGTTCTACAGCAATCAATTCCAGCAGCAACTGAAAAATAGAAATGCTTTTGCCTAAAACGATTCTGCCCGTAGCGCGTTGGCGAGCCGCGTCTCTCCAGTCCACACCCACGCCCCCCCGTCACCCGACACCCCCCCCCCCACCGTCACTCCCTCAGAGTCATTGTAAACCACGAGCCCAGCAGCTCTCCGATTACTCCGCAGCTTCGTCATGCTCAATTATTAAAGCAGAACATCCACAACGAATGAATAAACAAGAGCAGCTGTTATTACCGTCATTAATAATCATGACCGTGTTAGTGCAACACACTCAACCGCACTCCACATTTCCATTTCGTTTCTGCAATTTTCATTACTGTGGCCGTGCAATAAAACGGCAATTAATGTTCGTCCAGGAAGTGTGCCGTTATTCCACCGCCCACGAGGTTAGTGTCGCTAAAAATGTGTACGAAATAAAACTGCGGGGTACGAATAAAGCAGCTTCATATTTGCTCTCGCCGGAGGGGGAGGGGGCGTCAGGAATTCCGAAAATCTCGCCTTGAACTCCTGCTGCGTCTTAAGCGGAGATCGGCTGAACCGTTGCTCAACCACTGACCCTCAATCCAAACCCATATCCCCGATCGGCACAAGTTGACGTCCTCAAGCCCAAACCTCACTCACCTCGACCCAGAGGCAAACTCAGCCATTTGACTCCAATCCTCGACTCGAATGCCTAATGAGCGTTGTGTTATATGTGGCAGTAGCTGAGCTCCCATCCAGAAATTGAACTCGGAACCTTCCCATTGTGAACCGCTCGCTCTACCACTGGACAATGGTGGACAAGAGGCCGGGGAAGACAGCCCGTTAAGAGTAGCAGCAGTGTGATGATTGGATGCATCTGGGAGTATAATCTGATGCAAAGTTGTTGTGTGAATATCCTAGACAGAGCTAAACGGAAGGAAGGCCATGACTGGCGACATCTTTGAGAAAGGACACATCACAGAGGGAGAGGCATTGACGGTGATGATGCTGATCGTGACGACAATGACGATGATGCAACGTATCAGCCAGGTGCCGCGGACGTCTCTGCCGCACCTCGTACTGCGTGATGGCCCCGTTCGGCTCCTCCGGCTCTCGCCACTGCAGCGAGATGCTCTCCTCCGTGGCCACGCCACTGATGGCCACCGCAGATATAGGGCCCGGCACTGGGGTGGTGGAGGCAGCGGCAGTGGGGAGGAGGGGAAGAGGAGGGGTAAGGGGGGGGAGGTGCAAACAAATAAATAAATATAAAACACACAAGTGCAGCCCTGCAATTGCGTGTTCGTGTCCATGCTAGCAGAAGGATCCCCACCCGGCGGGACACTACAGAACCCCTCGAGTGGGCATTTGGTCTCCTCACAACACGTCTTCACGGAAGGTGTGAGTGCCACCCACATGGTGTCCCACCACCCTCCCCCTGCCATCCGTGGGGCACTCACACTGCTCGGGGGACAGCTCCCGGCGGCGACGCGGCTCCCGTGAAGGGACGCCACGGTCCGTCGGTCCGCACGTTTTGCTCCCACGTTATTTCTCAGCTGCATTGCGGTTAATTCCTCTCCTTCGCCGAAATTAGCACTGCCGTGTCAGCTTCCCTGTCGCTCTGGATCTCGCTTCCACGCGCCGTGTCTTTTAGCAATCGCACTTGCCATCTGCGGCCAAACATTTCTCTTGCATGTTACAGCCGCAGCCCCATTCCCAAGTCCAATTTCTCCATGGAAACGCGGGACGCGGTCACGGCCGCGGCGATCGTCCTGCCATGCGTGGGGGTGTTGGGGGGGTGGGAGGGAGGAGGGGGGGGCGAGGGGGCCCAACCACATTTAATGCGGATTACCCAAAATCTCCCCGCAAAGTCGCACATTGGGCGACCTCATAATCCCACACAGCGAAAAATTGTAAAATACCAAAGCGCATTTGGAAAAACGCATCATTTGACCCTTCCAAATTCGGTGCCATGGCGATTCAGCCGACAGAGCAATACATCTCTTAAAGTTGTGCGGCATAATCCCCAGCTCCATTTCAACCCTTTATTCATTCTGTAAAACGCATTTCCTGCAGACTCCTGCCGTAGACTGCAGATGCCCTTTTGCTAAACTGGGTAATGAGCCATGTCCAAGCAATTCGGATAAGTTCATTAACATCTATTTGGCAGTCCTCTTTTGAGTCTCTGGGATAAGCATGTTAAAAGAGGATGACCGCCTGACCGCCTGACCACCCGACCCCTCGACCCGTCGACCTCTCGCCTGAACGCCGACATCGAGGCAGAAGACTCTTGAAACACCCCGCGGGCACCCAAAGCTATCCGGTCTCAGCAGCCCAGCAGGGTTCAGCCTGGTCAGTTCTTATCGTACGCTTGGGCTATGAGGTGGCTAGATGATGGTAGTAAAACAATACGTTATTGTATCTATTTGTACGCCACCTTAAGAGCTGTCACTTCTTATGCACTACACGGCCACTGAATTCCTCACAAATGCCAAACACCTATCAATGGAACTGGTCTAACATTCCAATGTGAGACCCTCCTGACAAAGGTCTTGAGACTCGGTGAGGGTGTCCTGGATAAATAAAGAGCATTGTTGTTAGTAAGTGATTACTGTACCCATTGATTTTTATTATATCTACCTCATACAATGACAATGCTTCTTCTGGTTTCAGTTGATCAAATATTAAGGGACATCACTTAATAGGATGATATGATTAAGGTTAAGGGTTTGGGTTTTGTTTGGTGTTTAGGGATAAGGTTAGGAGTTGGGTTTAGGTATTAGGATTTAGAGGTTAAGGATTAAGATTAGGGTTTTAGAACTATTACAATATTTTAAACATTTTATTTTCCCAGGTAAGGCCCACTGAGCTGTATAGTTCTTTTTCAGTGGTTAGAGATTTGGGTTTACGGTTCAGGGTTACAAGTTGGTGTTCACGGGAAAAGGTTCAGGGCCTGGCGTGCCTCAGGCTGCCTCTCGAGTTCCACGTCGTTGCGAGTGTTGTTGAACAACGCACGCGGCCACGTCCACTCACCGTCCTCGTCGGTCTGCGTGTAGATGCGCTCGCCTGCCTTGCGGCCCTCGGGCGTGTACAGCACGGCCTGCAGGCTCAGGTTGTGGTGCGGCGGGAGTCCCGACAGCACGAAGCCGCTCACCGCCTTGCCGGCGTCGCGGCACACCTCCGGCAAGCTGCTCTCGTTGGCCGCGCCGGCGGCGCCGGAAGCGGAGGCGCCGTTGGCCGCCGGCGGTTGTTGCGGCGGTTGTTGCGGCGGCGGCGGCGGCGGGGCGGCGCCCGTCCAGCTGCGGTAGCACACGGTGATGTTGAAGCTCTGGCAGCGCGTGACGTTGTAGCCCAGGGGCTCCCACTGCAGCGTCAGCTCCCGCGAGCGCAGGTCCACGACGCGCACGCCCTGCGGCGCGTGCTTCGGATCTGGAGGAGCGACGCGGGCGGGCCGTCGTTACTACGATTGTATCCGGATTTCATACGACTAACGTGTCAAAAAAGAAAGTTTTCAATCTGTGCATACCACCAGCAATACGATGCCACTCAAAATTCGAGTTTGTTCTTTTCAAGGTCATGCCACCTGGTTTAATTAACTTGTCTAAAACAACGTGGTCGTTACAAAAAATATGGAACAAAAACTGAAAAGTTTAAATTACACTGAGAGACCGAAAGTGTAAGACGTGGATGAGATGACACACATGCAGAATCATGACATCATCCAAGCATTTAAGCAAATGTGAGTGGCCTTGGGCAGAGTACAGCATGGCTCTAAAAGATGATTGCCGATGGTCAAGAGTAAGAACGGAGCGGCAGTCAAAGAGTAAGAAGACGTCAACAGTTCATGTGCGGGTTGCTGCATGGATTGTTGAACTGCAGGACTGAGAGCAGTGGCTTGGGAAGACCTTCATCTAGCAGTGGATTGATCATGGTTGATGAATTTGATGGAAGAGATCAAAGATTGACAACTAGTTTTAGATTGAAAACTAATTTCTTTACAGCTGATTTTTTGTGTATAGTTTTTTGTTCTTCCCCCATACCTCCGATTAGCACAGTTGGCTATGCACCATGCAAAAGAAGTTCAACATATATATGTACATACAAACTTTCGCAAGACAATAGGATGCATGTCATGCAAAGTCACCCAGCTGCACACACCGCACTTAGAGTGAAACTTCTCTATGAGTGAAGAACTTGTACATTTTAAGGTCTGGCTTAATACCAGACGTGGAAGTGCTTAAGTTCTCACGGACGATGATTCCATAACGTGGAAGGAAAATCAGCCTCGTCCTTGCGTGACTGCTGGATTAATACATCGTGGGATCACGGGAAAGGACAAAGGCTTGGGAAGGCCTTCATCCAGCAGTGAACATAGTTGGTGACGATGATGATATGTCTGCATGTGTTCAAGTCATCTCTGTGATAATTGTAGATACGTGCCAAGGGGTGAAGAGCGTGGAGCACAGATGTACGGTGCAACATTGGACTTTACTGCTCTGCCCTCTGCTGACAACGTAGGCGTGTCGGTGGACGAAGCGAATGGGAGCCAATGAAACCCGGCCAGCGCACGCTCGCGTCGACCCGAACCTCCGTGACAAACGATCACCGCCGACACGTCGACCGACGCGCAAGCGCGAGGACGTTCGTTGCGCGTGTTTGTTTCCTCCATGTTTTACTCCGGCTCCCCAGAGTTCGCTGCTGGCAGCCGCCGCGGTCAATGAAGCCGGCAGTGCCAGCCGTGGGACACGCCAGCAAGCCGCACTCGGTGCAACCGAGATCTGGTGGGCGGGAGACGCGGCGGCGGTGGGGCGCGTCGCCGGTCCACTGCCGCGCCCCACCGCCCCGGCACCGCCCCGGCACCGTTGTCTGCACGTCTAAGCGGCGGCGTCACTCGTCCTGACTTTCCGGGGGGGGGGGGGGAGGTATTTTTTATTTGTTTGAGAATAAATTAAATAAACATCTAAATATGGTGTCGTTAAAGTGGTAATGTTTACCATTACGACTCTCAAATGCAATGCTTTTACACCAATCATGCACACTTCTTTTCTCGCTATGCTGCGGGTGGAAACCTGTCATGGACCTCTGTGATCCTCCTTCACGAGGGTCTTCATGTTAAAATATTGATAAAGTGCGCGCTAATTTGCGGCAAGCCTTTGATTTTCGCAATCATGAAAAACACGAGGCAATTAAAATTGGTGTGGGAGAACAACAGAAGAGCCACGAGAATGAAACTCGGAGAAAATGAACAAAGGTTCTTCGTAATTTCTGCTGGCATTCACTCGTGAGCAGCGTCCTCCTTCACAAGAGGCGCCAAAACTGAGACAAGCGTTGACAGGCGATTGCGTTGAACTCTCCGATGGATTTCGCCTTGCACCGCGAGGCGTTGGGCATGATGTCCGTCCGTTCGCCTCACGTGCTGGAGCTCAGCGGGAGAGCTGTCGAGCCAGGCGGGGACTTGGCAGTGGAGCAAGCGGCTCGCACATCCTGGCTGGGGGTTGACTCGGCCCATCATTCCTCAGGGATCGATAAAGCAACTCCCACTTTACGTGGAAGTCAATCGCGGTTTGTCGTATGGACAGACACCCCACTCACAGGAATGTGGAATTTCCACCACACTGGCTTAGGTGAGCACCGTCTAATTGCTTGTTGGAGCAGGAAATCATCTTTTTGTTTTGCAACACAACCGTGAAAAGCCAGGCAGCTGGTTTAACGAGCCGAGTCCCCCACTCGGGCATGAGAGCGGGGATTGCGGGCTCACCGTGGCTGCTCATGCAGCTCTCATAACCACCTCAATTACGGCCGTGATGGGGCAGTCTCGTGAAAATTGGAAAAACGGGTGAGTGAGGCATGCAAAATACTCTGTACGTCCAGGGGGCCACGCGGAAACGCGGCAGACATCCTCGCCAACGAGCGCACTCGGCCAATCTCTCAACAAATGAAATCAAGTGGCTCGGAGCGCAGCACGGAGGTGGTCTCCATCTTGACCGCGACGCCTGTGCCATCCTAGTCGATAACAAACACCGCGCTGCTCGAGTAGGGGAGATGCCAGCGTGGGCACAAGCCCTGTGAGCGAGCACCTAATGCCACACTCCTCCCTCCTGCGAGCAGGCACATTCATACAAATTGCCTTGACAACAGCAGCCACTGACAAAAACAAGCAGTGGGGATGTAAATACATAAATGAGTGCCAGGAAATAAATACATTTTAGCGTGCGGCTGTGGCAGCAATTGCTAGCAGCCCAGGCCACATTTGAAGGCTCCTGACCGCAGACTGAGCGCTCGCACCACTTACGAGGTGGCAGACTCGCGGTGCCGACAAGCGCCGGCTCCCGACAATAGAAAGCGATTCGAGGCCAAATCCACGTGCGGCGAATCTGAATTCACATCGCGGTCCAGTAGATTCAACGGCAACGCTGGCATAAGGCGGCAGCAGCATTAGATGACGACTCGGAAACGCGTGGACTGATGGAGGCGACGAGGAGGAGGCCCCAGCAAGGTGTGGGGACATCAGCGAGAAAATGGCACCGGCGGCTATGCTGCACGTGGCCTCTGCAGCGCAGCCCTGTGGTGGCAGCAGCGAGGGTTGGTGAAGCACACGCAATCCTGACACTCCGTCCATCGCCGACCGCGTCGGGGTCCCCATCTCCTGGCTTTCCAGGGTGTGATGGCAGTGCAGCAAGTGGATTCATTCCATCTGCAACCCATCTCTTGCGCCGGTTACGGGGTTTGAGTGTTATTTCCTCCGCACGAGTGGGGTTTTTCCAGGTACTCCAGTTTCCGTCTGCTCTGGCTGCCTTCCGACTCCGAATCGCTCTCTCCCTCTTTCTCCCTGAGCTGAGAGTGATCGACAAAACCGTGCGCATCACGAATTCGAAATTCTCATGGTGACGATGATGACCGTCAAGAGTGGGGGCTGCTGCGGCTGCTGCTGCCGCCGCCGCCACCGGGTCCACGGAGCCCGCGGCCTCCGTGAAGCGGCCCGGCGGCAGCAAGCGGTGGCAGAGTTCACGGGCGGCGAGCCGGCGCACGGCGCTTCAGGTGGAGGAGCGACGTGAAGGCGCTCGCGCCGACTAGTCGAGGGGCGACGAGCAGGGGGAGTGAGCAGCCTCCACACCAGCGAGGCTTGGAGCTCGGGCCCCTGTCCTGGACGCGCCGGGGCACCTGGCCCCCTCACACCAACGCCGCTGGGTCGGAATGCGCCGCGGAGGAGTTCGCGGCGGAGAGAAGCGGGGGGCTCACAAGGACCCCCTCCCTCCCCCGTGCTGCGCTATCTCTCCCCCTCCCTCCCCCCCCGTAATCCCCTTTATCTGTGGGCACACAGCATCTCATGCTCCCCCCCCCCCCCCATTTCCTCGTAGCAGACAATGAGCTTGTTCCTGGGCAATGCGTATTATCCGCCAGTTGTTTCGGGTTTATTTCTACGAACACGGCCATGGGGTGTGCTCGAAACCCTGACGCCGCCTACACGCGCATGTTAGTGTGCGCGTGTTTGTGTGCGTGTGTGCGCGTGTGTGCGCGTGTTTGTGTGCGCGTGTTTGTGTTTATTTGAAACTCAGTTCCTGGGCATGGTGCCCAAAGGCCAAAAACGCCAAGCAGCCACCAACTGTCGAAGTTGTAATACACGAGAGTTATCAACACATTTGTTGAATTGAGCGATGTTATTTTAAGAGCTTTGGAAAAAGAGACGATGGGAGGGAAATTGCAAAGTGGAGCAGCGCGAGAGAAGATGCGTAAAGAGAAGTGGTGTGACCTGCAGCGTGGTGATTGCACACCGCGTGTGGGTGACGAGACGGAACGGCCTGCATGTGGTGGTCACCACAATGACCGCACCGTCCTCTCAGGCGCACTGCGGCCTTCCCCAGAGCTCGGCAGCACCACACGGCCCAACAGCCTACCTGCTACCACGAGACATCTGTCTCCTTGGCACGAGTAAGAACTTGTGAACGTGTGTGTTTACATACAAACGTACACAAGCGCACACCACTAAAGGAAGTGACTATTTTCAGTAAATATCTGCATAATTTTGAAAGGTTCCAGCTCCCACTAAAATATAAAAAAATGCCAAAGAGAAATTGGATTTTCACCGCAGGTAAGCCAATGCATGAATCCTGCTCAATATGAAGTCATATTCAGAAATGTTGACCGACAGGGAGCTTCATACACGATTAATTGTATAAAATCTCCACGTGTTGGCATGCGTTATATCCCTGCCACGCAGTAAGCCGAGGCATGCAGTCTTCACCGATTTCCTTTCCGCATGTCGTTCCTTACAGACACGATAATTCTAAAATGCACCGCCTAATTTTCACAACATCGGTGACACGCGTCAAGGACGTCAATATCTTGAAGCGCCTGACAAATGGGTGGGGACGGAGACGGTGTGGCGGCGGTCGTGCTCACAAACGGGCGCCCACGGCGGCGGCAGCGGCGTGGGTTCAATATTCACGGGGATGCGACGCCCGCGTCAACACTGCCAATATCTCTCTGCACAGTCTTCTGGGAGAGCCGAGCACTGGCGATGACATGTCCCATTTCCTTGTTTGTTTGTACACACAATATCCCAACTCAAAAACACAATTTTAGATTTTCTAAAGGAAAAACTGAACGGCGGTGCGTCCAGGGGCTCACTATCTCTCGTGTGACTACATGCGGCAGAGGCCCGTACAGACTCGACTTCCTGTTTTTCGTAAAACCTTATAAGCCCCCGTTTATCTGTGTGCCTGAACACGCGGTTATCTCCCCAGCCGTCCGACCGGCAGTAATGAAATTTTCATTGAAGACCCACGTCCGTGATAACTTCCACGAGATTGCTTCGGATGTCAAAAGGACAAAGGTCGGAGGTCACTCCGCTCCCGTGAGACGCCGTCCGGGGACGAGGAGGGAGTTACAGGTAACACTCGCGTCCTGGCACCATTGCTCCGGCAGCTCCGGATCGTTTATGCAAAGCATCGGCCCCTGGCAATCGCCTCGACTCGTAGCGAAGGGATCCTCGAGCAAGCAGAGCCCACGGCCACTCTGCACACACCACGGCCATCAAAGAAAATAGACCCCACGGCAAACTGGCCAATCCATTCGAGTTACTCACAGCCAATACATTTTAAACTTCTATCAACACCAATATAGAAATATAAACACGTGCTCCAGACAACGCCGATACAAAAACGCCATGAATACGAGCAGTGCCAGGTGCTAAATGCGAATTCTGACACCTTAAATATTCACCGTGAAGCTCGTTGCGGAAACTACTTGGCACGTTACACAACTTATTTTGCTTTTCGCACGCTTTCACTTCTGAGAAAAAACGGCAGCGCTCATTATTCCCAAGCGTCAAATCGCAGCTGGCAGGGGAAGGGTGAGAGGCAGGACCGCTACGCATCACGCACAAACACGCGTACACACACGCACACACACGCACACACACACACACGCCGGTACACGTGTGTACGCGCCCAACTGACTCGCCTGCTCCCACGGCGAGATTTACAGTCGTAGCCGAGCTGCTCTGCGCCCGTCCACTCACTCCGCATCTGTTTCCTTTGATAAGAATCCGCAAGCCAAGGGAGAATGCGAGCGGCATCCCCCACCGTGCACAAACACACACACTCTGCACACACCAATACACACTGCACACACCACTCCGCCCCACCATCCACCCCACCCGCCTCGCTTGCTCCCACCCAGCATGTGAGCCTCACGTCGTCGCACCGAGCGACTTCCTGCGAACAAAAGGGGCTGTTGCGCATGGGGTGGTGCGTGCTCAACAAAGACAAAGACCTCCTGCATAGCCTTTAACGGACTGTTAGGGCAAGGGTTGTTAGCGAGCACCTATTAAGACAGAAATGGCGCACAAAAGTGTGGTGTGGCCAGAACCATGCCCGGCTGTGTTTGTCTCCCCAATCCTGTTGTTTAGATACATTGCATCAGGTACTCATCTAAGGCTGAGTCGACCTAGAGTTCGTAGCACAGCGTGCTACCCACTGTGCCACCACTCCTTAACAACTACACTCCCGCGTGCTCTATACACTGTTACACGCGTGTACAAATACATGTGCGTAGGTCGTTGGGGAAATGTCTGTTATTAGTGAGCACCTATTAAGGCCATCGTGGCAACACTACCCACACCTGCCCCACGCACACTAGAATATGACAAACAGTAAAACATTGAACCTCACATGCTCGCTTCAATGCATGTATCGTGACTGCAAGAATCTACTATATTTAACAGCACGATGCACCCTAAATTATCCTATTGTTGGTGGAGGGCTTGCCTCTATTCACTCGCCCCCTCCAACCTGAGTCTGTTAGGTTGTGGAGCTACGGCCCCATTTGCCAGGTGTGTAGGTGGCACCTGCACAACTATACAGCTCCCAGCTCACCCGCTCACCCCACTCACCAACTCACCCTACCTCGCCCACTCCTCCGCTCACCCCACTCACCAACTCACCCTACCTCGTCCACTCCTCCGCTCACCCCACTCGGCCTGCATGAGCCAGGGTGGTGACTACCCGGTGGTGACTGCCCGGTGTCGTCACCGGCTGGACGCCACCACGCTGCCGCTTATCTCACCGACAGAGATAATCCGCGGTGACTCCAAACCACTTGGGGGGGATCGGAGATGCCCCGTGCTGGCGAGAGCAGGGGCAGAAGAGATTTGCTGCCACGATATCCGTAAATAATATCATTAAAACGTGCCGACACGACGCAGCAGAACGTTGTGTAACCTCAAGAGTCGATGATTATTGTGGAGATAGTGGCGCAATTGGAGACGGGGAAGCTGGCGCCTTAATGTGTATGGGGCCGCCCTCCTGCCACGCTGGGAGAAGCCAGCACGGCTGCTGTGGCCCAGCACCCAGATTTGCGAGCCTTCCGAGGGTCTGCTTGAAAAACAGCGTGCACTTAACGCGAACAGCACGCAATAAACTACGACACCCGGCATACATAACAAACACGCAGAGGCTGTCCCAACAATAGCTCCAAGGGATAATGACTACAGCTGGCCGCCTCACAGCACAGGTGCGCTCATGTGCAAATATACTCAATGAGTCACCGGGCCACCCTGGCTGGGAGACTCATTACACACACACACACCTGCCCCCTACACTCCCACAAGTACAAACAGACGAAAGCATCCATATGCACACACACGCACACAAAGGCTCCACACCCGTGTTGTTGTGGACTCGGACCACCTCGTCCACTCTGCGTCGAACCACCGCACCGCAGGTCGAACCACTGCCCTTTCTGCGTCTTCCCCTCGCAGCGCTCCACTGTGGAGTTCTCCCACACCGTCGCCCTTCTCAAGCCCTTACAACAATATTCCTGCTCTATTCACAACACGCGGCAACGCGTGCCTAGTACAACTTCGAGAGTGCAGTTTGATGCATGTACGTAAGTTGCATTTCTTTCGCACTGTACGCAACCAACCATGCTCATTTGAGGCGTTGCTCGCCACCTACTCTTTTAAACCTCTGCACCAAGTTTGGCCGTGAGCACTGCGGCCGTGTGGCCACCTGGCTACGGAGCCCAGGGAGGGGTCCTCAGTCACAAGGCCGGCTCAAGGACATTTCCTCAGCTGTCACCCTTGACCTCGAACAGGAATGATACACTATACAAAGAACCTGCGTATTAAACTGTGCTGCTCCCAGGGGCGAACCTTGTAGGGAACCGGCCACGTTGATCAACGGATTTCCCAAAACCCAGCGCTTCAACCCGACGCTTTAAGGCTAAATCTTGCCGACCGAGGCAATGAAGTTGCACGTCACGGCCGGCCTTGACCACGGCCTCCACAAGATAGGGCCCTGGCCTTTCCCTCGGCCGCAGCCTCTCAGCCTCGGCCCCACGGCTCGCGACGTTGCAGCACGAGCGCCGGCGCTGTCGTGGGGGCGTCGGTCTCACCTGCACAGCGCGTGCGCGTGACGAGCGGCGGCCCCGGCGCCCCCGTGCCGCCCTCCCCGGGCCGCGTGAGCAGCAGCCGGATCTCGTACTCCGTGTCCGGGTCCAGGTGCCACAGCTTGAAGACGGGTGCCGCCACGGGGTACACCTCGGTCCAGTTGCCCTTGGTGGCACGCCACACCACCTCCTTGGCTAGCACGGGGCCCTCGCCGCGGATGGAGTTCACGTTCAGGTTGATCCACAGCGTTGTGGGCGCCACGCGCACCAGCAGAGGCGGCGCCACGGGGCTAGGCGGCTCTGCCGGGTGAGAGACACGGAGATGGAAATGATGGAGCGATGAATCGGTGTTTAACGCGTGCATTTCGCAAACGATATAGCAGAATTTGGATTAGGCCGCGTCGTGATCTGGACGTAATTTTGTTGTAAAACCCTCCGCCACCCTAAGCAGGCAAACAAAATAAACTGTCGCGCGGTGTGAATAATAATCATTCCATTTACTGCTGCGCAGGTTTTCCGCTGCCGCGAAGCTCTCCGATGTGTTGTCGGAATGAACCGTCTATTTTTCGGCACAATGTCTGACGTTTTGCTCCATAGCACTGGAAGCTATTCAGGAGCCGAGTTCTCACACTGAAGACGCTGAACTGAGTCCAGTTCCTAAAGAGATTCCCAGTGAAATCTCGCACGTTGTGCGCGAACAAGATGCATAAATGATTGTAATTTTTGTTATCATCCAGCAGTGGATTAATCATGGCTGATGATGACTAAACCATTTTAACCCAGCGAGCGAGCTCAGCATTGCCATCGATCTGTCACAGTCAGCCCGCTCTGGCCTTATTAACACGCTGCTAATGAACAAATCCCAAACCGATTTGTAACTCGTGTGTGTTTTACTGCGGCGACATTAACTCTTTTGCATGGCTGGGAAAACCGAGATAATCCGACAATTAAAGTGCGGTGAGATAAGGAGCGTTTCACAGCCAATGAGGAGCATGTGGTTGATTTCTTCAGACACAGGGCAGACGCTCAATATCAAAGGATCTCCTTTTCAAAACCTTTCCTGTGAAATATCACATTCACGAGTGAGAAACACTAACATTTTTTTAAATAGAACATTGTTCCAAAATAACATAACCTTAAATGTGGCAAGTGGTATCAGAACTTATCCTGGGCCTCCCCCCTAGGTCGAATCGGCGTTATACGAGCACCAGGTGCGATGTGTCAACATCAGCACCTGGGAGACATGAGCAGCTGTGCGTGGCGTTTGGCCACCCACTCACATGGACACACGCCCCATGTGCATTGTCCAGATATGAGCAAAAAGCATGCAAATTACAATTTACTGGAGGAAATGTAATAAGACACAAATGGTCAATTACATGAAGGTGTGAGATTTACATTTCAAACAGGTAAAAGGTAAAGATGCATCCCTGCAATTGCTTCCTCAGCTTGCAGAGGAAGGCTCCTCCACAGGAGGGAGTTCACCGGAGTTTAATTTTGATGTTTTACCTACGTGACTTTACCGAAAACACCTAAGAATATGAGTTCACCAGAGTCCATCCAGAGGGTAATTTGGCCTACTCTTCCACTCTGGCTAGATGCCTTGTCAGAGGTCCACACACGCCTTGCCCCGCAACAGCAGAAGCTGCCGATGGTGAGGTGCTGCAAACCCATTGGCTCTGCTGGGTGCCCCAGCGTCTCCACTGCCATGCCAGGAGGTCGAACATCGTGACGATGGTGCGTAGTGGATCGTGATGATGGTGCGTAGTGGATCGTGATGATGGTGTGTAGTGGATCGTGACGATGGTGCGTAGTGGATTGTGATGATGGTGTGTAGTGGATCGTGACGATGGTGCGTAGTGGATCGTGATGATGGTGCGTAGTGGATCGTGATGATGGTGTGTAGTGGATCGTGATGATGGTGCGTAGTGGATCGTGACGATGGTGTGTAGTGGATCGTGATGATGGTGTGTAGTGGATCGTGACGATGGTGCGTAGTGGATCGTGACGATGGTGTGTAGTGGATCGTGATGATGGTGTGTAGTAGATCGTGATGATGGTGCGTAGTGGATCGTGACGATGGTGTGTAGTGGATCGTGACGATGGTGTGTAGTGGATCGTGATGATGGTGTGTAGTAGATCGTGACGATGGTGCGTAGTGGATCGTGACGATGGTGTGTAGTGGATCGTGACGATGGTGTGTAGTGGATCGTGACGATGGTGTGTAGTGGATCGTGACGATGGTGCGTAGTGGATCGTGACGATGGTGTGTAGTGGATCGTGATGATGGTGCGTAGTGGATCGTGACGATGGTGTGTAGTGGGTCGTGATGATGGTGTGTAGTGGATCGTGACGATGGTGTGTAGTGGATCGTGATGATGGTGCGTAGTGGATCGTGACGATGGTGTGTAGTGGATCGTGACGATGGTGTGTAGTGGATCGTGATGATGGTGCGTAGTGGATCGTGACGATGGTGTGTAGTGGATCGTGACGATGGTGTGTAGTGGATCGTGATGATGGTGTGTAGTAGATCGTGACGATGGTGCGTAGTGGATCGTGACGATGGTGTGTAGTGGATCGTGACGATGGTGTGTAGTGGATCGTGACGATGGTGTGTAGTGGATCGTGACGATGGTGCGTAGTGGATCGTGACGATGGTGTGTAGTGGATCGTGATGATGGTGCGTAGTGGATCGTGACGATGGTGTGTAGTGGATCGTGATGATGGTGCGTAGTGGATCGTGACGATGGTGTGTAGTGGGTCGTGATGATGGTGTGTAGTGGATCGTGACGATGGTGTGTAGTGGATCGTGATGATGGTGCGTAGTGGATCGTGATGATGGTGTGTAGTGGATCGTGACGATGGTGTGTAGTGGGTCGTGATGATGGTGCGTAGTGGATCGTGACGATGGTGTGTAGTGGGTCGTGATGATGGTGTGTAGTGGATCGTGACGATGGTGTGTAGTGGGTCGTGATGATGGTGCGTAGTGGATCGTGACGATGGTGTGTAGTGGGTCGTGATGATGGTGTGTAGTGGATCGTGACGATGGTGTGTAGTGGATCGTGATGATGGTGCGTAGTGGATCGTGACGATGGTGTGTAGTGGATCGTGACGATGGTGTGTAGTGGATCGTGATGATGGTGTGTAGTGGATCGTGATGATGGTGTGTAGTGGATCGTGACGATGGTGTGTAGTGGATCGTGACGATGGTGTGTAGTGGATCGTGATGATGATGTGTAGTGGATCATCATCACCGTGACCTCTGCGGCTGCACCTTTGACACGGAAGGGCACGAGGTTGGAGACGCTTGACCCCCCGCGCGTCTTGGCGACGCAGCGGATGCGGTCGTCGGGGTCTCCGCTCGCCGTGCGCAGCGCGAACGTCGCCGTGAAGCGCCGCGAGCGTGCCACACTCACCGGCACGGGCACATCCTCGCCGTGCTGCCTCTGAGAACCGGCGGCAGCAGAACAGGAAACAGCGGCAGCAATGGCCGTTGCGCGCGAGAGGCACGAGCGGAAGCACAAGCAGAGGGAGCAATCGAACCCATGGCAGCAGCAGCAGGAGGAACGGCAGCAGCGACAGAGGCCAATGTACAAGCAGCAGGAGCAGCAGTGACAGAAACAAACACAAGGGTTACAATCACACAAGAGACACACAAGTGACAGCAGCAGCAGCACAACAAAAAGCAGTGACAACACTTTGATGAATAAAACATTTGGTTATCGGTTGCATCCAATGCATTTTTAATTAGCGACAGATGACTCTAACCGAGGGGGTTTCAAAATAAATAGCACACATCGGCAGTGACGATGATGCCTGGTACCACTCCGTGGCCTGCAGCAACAGGAGAGGAGCGGTGAGTCCGCACGTGGCCCGCCCCATTGTTTTATTATTCACCACTTCCGTCCGTGCCTCTTTCCCGCACTGCGCACTTGTCTCAGTCACAGTGTTGGTTAAGCCCACACGCTAACCCCCTCGCCAAAATGAGTAAAAAACAAACGTCGCTGGAGAGCTTCTTTGAAAAGGGAAAAGACCCAATGATGACCCCCCCCCCCCCCCCGTGAAAAAATTGTCTTCCACAAAACCGGTCCCTGTTGCCAAAAAGGTTTACGGTGTAAACGGCTGGCCATGATGAAGATGCTGTAAGTTGAGCAAAATGTATTTTATTCAAACATAAACGAAAAGCATTCACAAGACCCGGCTGAACGCTGGTTTTCAAACAACCCCACGCTCAGTTAAAGCTGAACATCACATTTGGACCACGTCTCCCACCGACATGCCACGCAGCGGTGCCCGACAGCGACGAGGACGCGTGCTACGGCGCAACGATCCGTCGATTAAAATCGAATCCCACGCTCGGGATGCTCGCGCGTGACAATACATTATTCATGACTTGTGCAATTTCTATGCCCATATTTTGTTTGTGTTAATGGAGTGAAAATAACTACAAATAAACAATAAATAATGAGAAGTAATGCATCATCAATTGCCTAAAGAGTGTGTTTTTTTACGCAGTCATTGGTGATTGGGCTGGTGATTCTGGCCAATCACAGGCAGCTGAGACCTGGAGTTGAACCTCGGGCTTAGTGGTGAGTCACCCGGCCACCTCCCATGGATTCCTTTCCTCTGCAAACGAGTGGAGCAATAGCTGTAACAGCAACGTCATCAAGTATGGTGAGCTAACAATGACCACAACAACAGTGGAAACATTGGCATCAACAACTCCGGAGAAAGCCATTACAAACGCACAGCGAGCGCACAATGAACAACATGAAACATTTGGCGTGAGCTGCAGTGCTGGGTCAATGTCTCTCTCTCTCAAAGAGGCGGCAACGGCACGGTCAGTGCCATGGGTTTCGACCGTGTTTACGTTTTAAATCTGTTTACATTCCTCTTCGATTAAACATCAAGTTCCCACTCACGAAAAGGAGGAGGAGCAGGAGGGGGACACTTTCTGCGGAATGCCACAAGCAGGACATGGTCTGCAGGGGCCCACGACGTCCATCGTGCCTCGCTCGCTGTGGCAAAAACCAAGGCCACAACAAGATGTAGGGACAAAAGGGCGGGTAAACGAGAAACCGAATCAACCATTTAGGGTTCAATGATGAGAGTGGCGTAGGCGGACAGATGAGGGGGTGGTGGTGGGGGGAGTTTGAATACTCCGCATCCGCATTCGCCATTCGGGGCAAGGGACAGGGGGTAAATTCTACTGCGCGGGGAAGAGCCACATGACCACAGCTGGCGCTACGCGTGCGTCATCCTCACAGGGGTTGCTAGGTTGTAAAAAAACCCATCAAAACCTTGCCAATTAGAAACAGAAGAAGACCATCGTGCGGAAAATGTGAAGGCAAATTTTCCACAAAATTATCGTTTTGCTGGAATTAGACGTTTTGAGAAGAGCCCATTATCACGCTGCGTGTATTTTGTCCGTCGTAAAGTGGCAGGCGACGTGGTGTGCGTCGTTCCGTGCACGGGGCTTCATGAGGCCACACTGGAAATGCTCACGCTGCCGTCCCCTGCACAAAACTGTAAACACGTAAACACGCTACTTGAACACAGCTCCCCGCAGATGTTCTTAACCTTATATGAACCTTAAAGACTACGAAGAGGACACTGCAAAACAGCTTTGCGGCAAGGAGAAGTCACAACCTCTGTGAGAGGTCAAATTGTCCGTTGAGAGGCGGTTGTGAGAAGGCATGTTTAATAACTTTTATAAAATAAACACAGCATGGAAAGCCTGTCAAGTCTGAAGGTTATGACCTCATGGACAAAAATAGCTTTAAAATAATTGACGATGCGAGAGCTAGGAGTATAACCTCTGACCTGGCAACGGGGAAGTGTTTCAGCCATCCCATTGCAAGGTCCCCAATCCGGGCGTTGTTTATTTTGTTTAATCCAGCTCCCTCAGCCTGCAGCGGCGGCGGCGGCGACAAGCGGCGCAGTTGAAGCCGCGAGGGAGCGGCCTCGGGAAATTGGTGAATTAGAGCGCTTGTAGTGCAACAACGAGGCTGCCCAGCGGGAGGGACCCGTTGGCCCGGGGCCTGATTAACCCCTCGCATCTACAAGGCCCCTGGTAGAGACATTTAATTTGATCGCTATCGCTTAGGCTCGCTAATATTTAGCCGGCAAGCGGGCACAACCATGGAGATTTTTGTGACTTTTCATGGCAGCTGAAGCTCAAAGTTAAGGCAAGGGGAAAAAATGTCTGAAAAAAATATATAAATCCACCTCGTCATTTTTACTTTTTGGCAGCTTGCTGCTGGTACAGTGTGGAAAAACCTCATACAGCTCACGGCAGCGGGGGTCGTGGTTTGGGAGATGCACACAATGGCAGGAAATGTTGTCCAGCGCACGTTGTTTACCGGGAGACGGGTGCCACGTTGTCAGACGTGGCCTCGCCAGTGACCCCAATGCCCGTCGTCTCAGTAATCCCCGTGGATAAAAGCGTAGGTCAATGGCCAAACACTTTTTGATTTTGCGAAAAGTACCTGGAAAAATCTATAAAATGTAGGCTTTAACAAGTGACTTCAATGGAAAAACAATGATGACCACAATCAGCCAGCCAGTCCAGCAAACAACACAATGTCCGAACAATTATGTTTTAGCTGATGACACAGTCTAGAAAACAACCGATGGATGCGAACTACAGGAAATGACTTAAGAGCTTAATAGAGATGGTGCAAAGTCGGGATCCTGAGAAAAACAAAGGTCATGCACAACGAGTTCACGAAACAATGGGAGATATGTCAGAGTGACACAACAATAACACACAGCGGAGTGTGTGTACCTCGGAGTGTGTGTACCTCGGAGTGGAGTGTACCTCGGAGTGGAGTGTACCTCGGAGTGGAGTGTACCTCGGAGTGGAGTGTACCTCGGAGTGTGTGTACTCGGAGTGTGTGTACTCGGAGTGTGTGTACTCGGAGTGTGTGTACTCGGAGTGTGTGTACTCGGAGTGTGTGTACCTTGGGCAATTATCAATGGTGGACCGGGATTACAAATAATTAAATAAATAGGTGAGTGACAGCAGGTTGGGGTGTCTGTAAAACCAACAATAAACACAAGACAGGAACACACGGTTTAGGGAACATGTAATCAGGTTGATGGTGGGTATATCTAAGGTATATCTACTGTATACATCAACATTCGGATTCGGGACCACACGGTCACGTCAGAGATTGGGAGTCGAGCGGGGCAGGACCCCCCCCACCTCGCTCCGAGCAGGGACGACAGCCGCTGCTCGAGACTATCGATGAAGTGGCAGACAGACGAGAGGTGGCACGACGAGGTTGTCTGCTGTGTCGGAGGTGCAAGGATTGTCAATGGCTTGGGAAAGCCTTTATCCATCAGGGGAAATATCTCGTGGCTGATGGTGATGATGATGATACAACGCTTAAAGAACCCTACAAAAACCAACGTTTACTTGTAGAAAAACCCTAAAGCCATTAAATGGTAACTTCCGTGCAATATGTGAGCTTAGCTTTAAAAATGCTTTGATCTGATTGTACAGCTTGACCCATTTATAGATACCCTAATGATGTATCGCAAGCCTTTTACTTTCTTCTCAACAGTTGATTGGATATTGTGGAAGCCACGGCTATGATTGCGTGCCAGGAGAGGGCTGAACTCGTTACAAGCCGTATCGAGGTCGTCGGGAGACGCTGGTGGGGGTTTCATTCAAACTACGTTTTCTACTCTCCGCTTTCTCCCTCTTATGTCCGTGGAGCGTCTCTAAAAAGGGTCACCCCAGGCCGGAGACTCGCGGCTCGAGGACACGGCACGGCACGTTCATCGCTTCTGGACGCCAGAGGGCGGACCGGGGCGCCCCAGCACGGCGGACCTCGGGCCGCTCGGCGTGCGAGCGCCTTCCTCGTGGGCGACGTGCGCGCATCGCACAGACACGTCGCACAGACACGTCGCACAGACACGTCGCAGACACGTCGCACAGACACGTCGCACAGACACGTCGCTCAGGAACCACGCAGCGGTGAGAGTTGCCTACCGCCTGGGAGAGGCCTTCGTCCAGCAGTAGATCGATCGTGGCTGACGACGACGACTATTATTGAATTAAAATTAAACAGGTACATTGGCAAAATAGTGCGAAGATGGATTTGGATCGGATCGATGGGGGGGGGGGGGTGAGTAATCGGGGTCGAGTTGGCGCGAGGTCGCTGCCCACAACCCGGAGGTGCTTCGTCAATGGGCGACAGCCTCCTCAGATTTTTAAAAGAAAATAACATCGACCGGTTTTTAGGACTTTTAAGCCCATTTCCTCAGACACGTGTTTGAGGCTCGCTGCCCCGGCTTATGCACAGCTTCATGTGTGAGATTATTCATTAGATTTTGGTCAATGTTTTTTTTCTTCCAAATACTTAAAGACAAAACGAGATCATACTCGATTTGGTGCAAAGAGAATGGTGCCGTAGCCTCCGCTTCAAAGAAGTGGATGTAGCAGCGATCTAATTATGTGTACTACATTGTTTTAACTACACCTTGCTGATAAGACGTGAGATAAGTGGGTACTGGTGTGAGGGGGTCTTGCCCCATACAGAAATGCCACTGGGAAGCATTACATATGGAGGCCCCAACGGCCAACAGATCAGGTTTCAGGAACGTTATTAAATCATGGTGACCGATGGACGACACTGGTGACGGAATGGCAGCCAAAGGAGTGAACGCGCCCAAGAGCACGACCACCACGGAGGCGGAGCGACGAATCGGTTCGCGTGCAAGAGTGAGATGGACTGTAGCAGCAGCACGGCACCGTCGGGGGTGGCGATGGCCCGGGAAGGCCTCCATCCAGCAGTGGATAGACAATGGATGACAACGACGATGACCGTATTCAACGACAGACTATGCTCGCTGTCCATGAAATTCGCACTCGAGATTGAAAATTCTCTCATGCGGAAAAGCTGCAATTTGAGGTGTGACAACATCCGGACGCAGAAGCGCATCCAACTCGAGGGTTAGTCGCATGCGCCGAGAGCTCCGCAATGTTGGAGCGCAGCCCTGCCGATGCGTTTAACCTTCTTAGAAGAATCACAAATCCGCAGAGACGGCGCTCCACCGAGGGGAAGGGCCGCGCGGCACCGCGCCCGGCGCCGCCGCAGCCAGGGACCGGTTTAATGCCGCGATGTCAGCCACGGACATCTGGTGTCGGCTCATGGACGCGAGCCATGCGGAGTCCCCCCACCCCCTACCCCCGCCCCCATTTGTGCCCCCCCCTCGGCCGCGTCTGCTGCCAGCGGATCACCCTGCGACCGCCGCCGCCGCGTGACCCTGGCTGGGTGCGACACAGGAGCCCGGCGCGCTTGTCTCTCGCTCCTTGCTCTCGTGTTCAAGGGTTGTGCCACTCGTTGTTTGGTACGATATCCGACGTTCCCCATCAGAGAGACACGTGGCAACACAGTCATATTGATCTTTGCTGCTCTATCGCTACTTGTGAAAAAAAAATGAAAATAAATCGACCGCACTGTGTGCGTGTGGGATGATCAGCGGTACACAAACAGCTATGCACCCACAAACACGCAGACGAAATGCCCCATATAGCCTGGGACACGTGCTGTTAATGACCAGCTATTTGCGCTGTATGCAAAGCCTGTCACAGCACAGAAAGGGTGAGTGTCCAGCACCATCTGTCGCCGCCTTTGTCTCCCCACTGCTGAGGTACTCATTTATGGCACAGTAGACCTAGGGAAGGCCCCAGGAACAGTTCGCATATTTGTCATCCTTGACTGCGAGTGGGAATCTAACTCGTAGCACTGTGTTATACTCACATATACTCTCATAACAAACACAAAGCCACGAACACTGGTACCTGCGCCGCATGTTAATGGGCGTTTTATTATACATAAGCAGATGCTTGCGGGCCCTGTGCTCTGGGGCGGGACTGCAAGCACGGGTTGTTTGTGCAGCAAGGCAACGGTTGGTTTACGATGCTTCCAGGGATACTGGCACACGCACTCTGTTTGTACTGCGGAGACGAAGGGACACGCGCGCACACACACAGGGACACGGAGGCGGGGACACACCGGGCAGGTGCGTGACCTCAGACGACCCGGCGCGCCAGAGTTACCTGCAGCCAGATCTGCTCGGGCTCCTCCATCTTGCCTGCGAGGGAGCACTGCACGCTGGCGTTCTGTCCGGCGTTCACCTCCACGATGCTCATGAGCGGCAGGAAGTGCGGGACCTCGTCTGGGGTAGGGGTGACAATCAATCCGCCGTCTCGCGTCGTTCTACGGGGTTGCGCCGACACACGGAGGCCGCCCATCGAAGCCACGCGTAGGCTCCGGCCTGCTTTGCTCGCGGGATCTGACGAGATTGGATGATTCCGGGCGACTATTTTATTTCAAGCACGAATGACCCAAAATGCCAAGTGGCCAGCAACAAAGAGCATGGTTGAAGGTGCAAGCGATGAGGTGAAACAGTCAGTGTCTGGTCGACCAAGTCCTCCGCGTGAGCAGAGCGATCACACATTGCACAAAGAGCAAATTTTATGCTGAGTTAACCGAGAAGAGGTCCAGGACAAATTAGCATGATGTAATTGTAGCATCATGTGCAAAAAACATCAACAACAAAATGTTAATGTAAAAACGACACGCACGCATGCACAGCCATGCAGACACACATCAAGGTCAATTTGTCATGATGGCCGATGGTGGTGATGGCAGCGACCCTCTGCATTGCCTCATCTGCTGCTCAATCGACACCTGACCTCCAGGGTCTGCTCTTACAGACAGGCAGGAACAATTGACCGATTTCTATTTGACAGCCGCGTCTCCTCAAGATACACAACAAAGAAGGACGAGTGTCAGCCAGGAGGCGTTAATAATGGGGGGGGGAGGCTGAAGAAAATAACGACAATTCTCTCTCCAGATCAAAACTGCCAAGCCAGGAGCAACACAATGGCATGGAGGATCCGGTCACTTGGCGAGAGGGGAATGAGAGGAGGCGGCTCTGGTCGGCTCATGAATCGAGGCTAACGGGAGCAGCGATGCTTGACATTACAAATGAAAGGACGCGAGTTGAGACTCGTGGACAAGGAGACGTGAAGCGATCAGGATGGGAAAAAAACGCGGAGAGAGCAGAAGAGCCAGCGGTAGGCAGCAGCGGAGACGGGAAGCACTCGCCTCATTTCCCACAGAGCGAGCAGGCGCATAGACCCAATTTGCACGGAGCTTCGCTAAAGAACACCACCGCTGGCTGCCGGGCTCCGTGTTCCACAAATAAAACATCACGCCGGCCGGCCCCGGCGAACACGACCGCATCACTAATTAATGCTTTTTGATCAGCGAGCTCCCTAAGAAGTCTTCCCCGGGGCTGCGGCTGCTTCTGGCTGCAAGTCGCGGCAACTTTGGGAAGACGATTCAAGCGGCGGTGTTCAGCCGCACCTCTCTGCCCGACGGGACCGGAGCACGCTCCGTTTTGATCTACATTAATGCCACGCATAATGGAGCTGCCTGCGAGTGATGTAGAATAAGGTTAGCTTGATCTTTAAAAAAGAGAAAAATGTCTTTCAATGTTTTTTCCCCCCCTCTCCCCCCCCTCACTCTCCGCTTCTACGGAAACTCTCGCACCAACTCCGAGGGCGCCAACTTGAACGAGCGCGGCGGCGACCGTGCGCGGGCACCGAATTCCAGGTGCCGACGCTTCAGGAGGAGACCCTTCTCGTGTCGGATCGGTACAATAAACCGGTGCGGCGAGATGGCACCACGAGGCTGCTCCTATCTGGCCCGGGCCGCCGGCCCTGCTCCCGCACCGGAGTTAATTGCGTGTGCTCCCGCCCTAAATCCTGCCGAGTCCGAGCAGCGCAGACTAATTTCCAGCTGCCGCTGTTATTCCGACACCTTTTATGCTGCCTTTATTCATCACGGCTGTCTAGTTGGGAGGAGAGGCGCTGCGGATACGAACACTTTTGCCCGTAATCATATCGCTTGTCTGAGCAGGCCCCGCACGCCGTACATTTTGCTTAAACATAAAGAGCAATTAAACGCAGCCATTTATACAGCGCATCGCTTTAATAGCACGAGCGAACACACTTTTAAACGAAAAACACGTATAATTTATAAAGCATCAGCTGCTTCAAACAAACAATAAACGCAGCGCTAATAGGGAAATCTGTTGGGTCTAATCAACTTAATTACTACATTTGCATTTCAGAAGGTTGTGAATGGGTACTCGGAGAATATTAATAATTGAAGTGTAGCCTCGACAAAATCTTATTAGTTACTGTTCAGCGGTCGCCAATTACGTGCATTCAACATTAAGGGGCATGCGCAGCGTGCACACAAAGCAGCTCATATCAGTCAAGCGCCCATCAATCCGGAGTGTGCCAGGCAAGAGTGGTGCGTGGGAGGTAAAATAACATGGCACCGATATTATGTTTCACAACGGAATGGCATATGGCAAATGTAATTGGCGGTTGTGTTATTTAATTAAACATTCTAGGCTACGTCTGTTGCGTAGGGGAGCAGCGGTACAGCGGTTAGCACAATGCGCTGAGATTCGTGCTCGCCCATGGCTAACATCAGCAGCGAGAGAGTGGTATCTGAACAGTTCAGATGAGAGGAACGATCAAGAATGGAAAAGTAATCATCTTCATTATCGTCATGATCCCGTAATCATCAACCCATCATCCCAAAATCATAACCGTCATGATGATGACAAATACCCCAATCTATGACTCCATTGCGTCCTACATTTTAAACGAATCTCTGCTCTAGCCGCCGATGAGAGCGCTATAATCTAATGATGCGAAATAAATTTAAAGCATAAAATAAAATCCCCCGTGTAATAAAACGTCACGCTGGAGAGACAGAACGTGTGAAAATGAATCTCGAGCTTTGTCTGGAAGATAACCCTCGTCACTACGACCTCGGTATAGCAGCACACCCGCCTCGCTGGGTTTAAACTCCGGCTTGCGAGGTAATGGCGACCCCCCTTTGCTTCTTAGAACCTCTCGGACGAGCGTGGCCGAGGTGGAGGCAGAACCACCCACCGGTGTACGTTACACCTTCACTTCAAATCAGCGGTCCCCAAACTGTGCGCTGCTCCCCCATTGAGGGGGGCTTACATGACTCACGGGGGGGCGTAGGCTGCAGCATGGATACCGTGTGGGGAGAAATCTATAATTTGAATGGGAAACGTTATCATTACGTTGCCGCGTTGACTAGAGGTGTGTGGACACGTGACCTTCTTCGTTGTGTTCTTGGAGCTGTGGAGGGGGGCACGGAGCCCAGTGGCCTTGATCGGGGGGGCCGCCCTTCCGCGCGGGGAGAGGAGCACTGCTCAGTGTACAGAACACGGAGTCCCGGAAAACGTGAGCGGGGTGATGCAGGAACTTACTGCACGAGTACTCGTGAATGTGGACCTCTCCGATGGCCACGTACGACGCCTTCTGTTCAGAGATCTCCGCCTCAAACACGACCTTCACACCACAAAGCAGGAGCACGTGGCCCCGTGCATGCACGCAATCACACGCACGAGGACACGAGTGCATGCACACACGTGTACATGTGAATGCACGTACGTGCACACACGCACAAGTGTGGGCACATATTAACACCGTGCACACACGCATATCCGTACACACACACACACATGAAGTGCTCACACATGAATTCACACAAATACACACTCACGTACACGAGCACGCATACATACAAACAGACACACGCACACGCACATACATACGCCAGGTTATTGCTCCTACATTTCATTACACATCGCGCCGCGGATCAACATCACAATGGGCGGAACAGAATCAATATGAGGCAACGCGAGCGCGCAATAAGCTACGGTAATCTGCGAGAGATAGAGGCAAAAAAAAGTTTAAAATAAAATCGGGGAACATTGACGCTGAACCACGCAGCGACAATGGCCGAGATGCACGGTCATCGATTGGCGCGGCGAAAATGCACATGACTGCATCGCTAATTATCCACGAGCCGTCGCCGCGGAGGTGGGGGCGGAGAGGCCGCTCGTAGCCACTGGCTTTATCTTAAAATAGGCCTGTCATCGTCGCTTGCTCATCAGCAGCAGCAGCAGCAGCAGCGCGACTTCAAGATCGCGCGACACGAGGCCCAGTCAGCACGCAGACGATTCACTCAGACGTACTGCACGTGCGTGCATGTGTAAGTGACGTTAATGGAGTCGTGATGGCGTTAGCGCCAGCTCCCGTCACAAGAGTGTGTCTTGGGCCTCTGTCTGGCACCAGAGTAGCTATGGCATGGAAGCGGGCCCCAGAGGGCATGGTTCGGAGGACGTGACAGTCTGGGTGACCCCGAGAGGGCACGTGACCGGCAGAGGGTAGCGAGGGGGCACAAAGGGTGGCTTGAGGGACACGTGGTGCTCGGTCGAGAACCTTCTGGTGAGATCCAGAAGGGGGCGTGGCCACGCTCGGGAGCTTGAAGCGGAGGTCCCGAGAGCGACCGCTGCTGTCTGCTGGAAATAACCTGCCGTGCTACGTCTCCTCGATCTTTGGTCTTCGGTCGTCACGTTCAGCATCTTGGGTCAGGCAGTATGTTACTGACCTGACCCGGTTATGTAGTTACCCTGTTGGGGGTCTAGTTAACTGTTGTTGTACGTTATGTAGTTACCCTGTTGGGTTTGTCGAATAAACGAGTTTTCTCCAAGTTCAAGTGTGTGTCTCCGTGAAATACACTACACATGTGTATGCGTGTATGTATTACTGGGGCTGCAATGCCTTAAAAATTGGAGAAAGTATCCGCAACAAGCAGAGATTACTTCTTAAGTGAACTGCTGGGGGAGGGTGGCGTTTGTTTGCAGAATGCCCTTCGTGACATCATTACATCCGTCTGGTCCACAGGATGGATTCTGCAGGATTGGAAGGAAGTCCTGGTCGTTCCCTTTTTTTTTTACTCCCAGGGCATATTTCTCCTCAGTGTGAGGCCGGGAAAGGTCCCGACAAGGATTATTCAACATCGCCTTGCCAGAAATGTTAAGGAGAGGCTTGCGGAGCCCCAGGGTTGTTTCAGATTGGGGTGGTCCTATTTTCCTCATATTTTCTCTGTCCATCTGGTACAGAAGAGGTGTAAGGAATTTCAACAGGACCTACATCGTGCTTTATTGACCTGGTCAAGGCCTATGACACCATCAACAGGCCATGGCTCTGGGTTATTCTTTATGCTTTTAGGGTCCCTCACCCTCTGCTCACAATCATTGACCGTCATGAAGATAGGGATGTCCTCTGACCCCTACACTTTTTAACATCTTCTTTGACCACGCAGTTCGAAATTATTGCATGGCTGTACCGGTGTAATTTCCATCTGGTGCAGATACAAAGGGAACACGTCTGAGAGGCCGTCAACTGAGAATGTGGAGCGATGAAATCAGGTCATGTACAGGTGCTAGGTAGATTATTACATCGGAAGATAATGAGAGGTGGTGATGGCTTGGGGGGCAGGGCTTCATCCAGCAGTGGACTGAACATGGCTAATGATGATTGTCATCTTATTTTCCCTCATGTCAACTCGCGAGTGATGATGGGGCCAAATTAGCGCCTGCTTCTTTGTCTCTCCTTGGACAGCTTTCCAGCTTCAGACACACTTGCCCCCTATTGCTCAAAGTCATTCTCTCTTGCATCAATCCGTCTCATTCTCCGTCTTCCTCTTGTCCCTCGGACTTGAGTGCCATTGTGCCAATGCTCAAATGGACAGTGGGCGGGTTCTCATCTCTATCGGTAGTCTTGCGGTGAATAGTTACGTTCCTACGATGGGAAGCAATCTCCATCCAGGTCACCGTTGGCATGTGACCAACTGACGCATCCTGTGCAGGTGCTGCTTCATTTACTGACCCCAGAGGGATAACAATGGTGATTACAATGAGGATGATTACGATGATGATGATGATTATGAAAGGCTGAGTCAGCCCAAGCTCATATTTTAACTCGTGACCCCAGACACAAGAGCTCTGCTCCTCTATGGAGAGCGTTACATCTAATCCCCAGAAAACTTCATTGGCGACCGGGCCAAGTCACGATTGGTGATAGTTTAGACTAAAATGTGAACTCTGCTAATGACGTTCGGCTCCAGTAAGGGTGGGAAACAACCATGCAAAGTTCTCGTGTAACTCTCTCCTACCGCTCCACACCCCCACGACACCCCAAAAAAACTGCTCACGTCAAAATAAAGCAGTGATTGAAAGCACGTGCTCTAGAGGGCAGCGGCAGGGGAGCCGGCTTCGGAATTTTTCGGCAAACGAACAGCGAGCCAGCGACGTGGGCGAGCGGAAAATGAACCCCGGCCCCGCGGCCTGGCGAGGAGCTGTCCGTGGTGGTCGCGGAGTAGGAGGGACGCGCACCGCCGGCCAGCGCGACAGAGACGGCCGCGATGCCCCAGACACACGCACAAGACGGACGACGCACAGACAGACGAAAACACGAGGACGTTCCAAACGCTGGGTTTCCGCACGAGAGCAGCGGGACAACAATGAGCGGTGTGGCCGCGCGGCGGTCCCCAACGCCAACGGACGTGGACGCCGCTTCTCCCGACCCCCTTACGTATTCGTGCATCAACCGCGCCGGTCGTGGGAGTGGGGGTGGGGCGGGGAAGGGGCGAGAGAAGAGGGGGCAGCAAATCGTATCTGCAGGCAACAGCTGTCTATTGTTGGGGCTAATCCCGCCGTGGTTATGTGACGAGGGATCAGCGCCGCTCGCATGAGGCTCATCAGTGTGGCGCGGTTCCCGGTGGTGGCGGCGGTGGCGGCCGCCGCCTGTGGAGAGGTTGGCTGTGGGGCTGTGCGGCTGTGGGGCGGGGGTTTGTCCCTTTATATGCTGCTTAGTGTCCCGCAATATTTTATGGCTTTGCACAAAACATTTTTTTCTTCAAGGACAAATTAAGCCTCCATTTTTCCCCCTTCTATTTCATCATCATTCCCAAACTCTCTCTGCTTCGTTGTTATTACGGCGAGATTTATAGCCATTATTGCGAAGAAAAATGTGTTTTATTTATTCTATTGAATTCAGAGATTTTATTTTAAGGTTCACTTTGTTGTCACAGCGCAGTCACTTATTTTGATTGCGCACAAAAAAAACAACAACCCCGCCATCAGTGAAATTGTAATTTTTTGCTTTGATTTGAACAGAGCCGGTTCAGAGGGCACGAAAGGGCATCGAGCAACAGAGCCAGAAGTGGTGCCGACACTGAAAATAACCGCGGAGCGTCGTTCACCCCGCTACGCTCTCACGCCTCGTTCCCAGCGACCCGCATCGCCCCCTGCACAGCTCTCATTTTACATCCGATCCGTCTGAAAGCAGCGCCCACAGTTATTGCTTACAAAGTCACATTTTTGAAAATTCATATACCCAACCATTTGCTTAATTAACTTCAAAAATTGTGCCGATGGACGTGGCTTGAGACTCATAATGGAGACTCATAATGGCCATGTCAATGCGATGGGTCAGTAATCCAAACAAAATAGCTTCTCACGCGTGATGAGTTAAAGGTTGTCATATCTCGGCAAAAATGGATCTGCTATAATCACCTTTCACTTAATTTGGCCTGACTCGGCTTGGAGTGCTGACATTCCTCAGTAGGTATCGGATGAGTGGCGTGTGTGGTGAACCCCCCTCGCACAGCGCGACACTGTGAGGCGTTGCGCACAGGATACAAAATTCCCAGACACATCGTCACATCACTATCACCGGAGCGGCTCCTGCAAGGGGACATTGGGCTTTACGTCGAGACCCAGCTTCAGTCTTCCGTGACAGACTCGTGGTCTCAATTGAGCCTTCACTTCAGAAATCATCCATGTAATGTCATCTTAAACACGTCGGCTTTCATGACCAACATTATCCGTAATAATGTTTTTTTTTGGGTTAGATCATGTCAATATAAATGTGCCGTTAACCCGCCACCACCCGACACAGCCAATTAGTAAGGTTCGTCAGGTAAATAAAACGTGGCAATTAGTTACTACTTTAGCACACCGGTGTGTTGGAGAGTAAACTCATGACATTTGGTAGCTTACAATCAGCTCCTTCAGGCAATTTTCAGGAGTTGTGAAGAAGTCTTCCTGTTTTCGGTCTTAAAAAGTACCCGAAATTTTATCGTCATATAAACACATCCGTAAAATTGTGTAAAACACGTAAAGTTGTTCATACCCATAAACTTTCCATGTCCCTCTCAACTTTGTGTCCTGGAAGGTCATCCCCAACTGCCCACCCCCACGTGGTCCAGCCGATAACAGCAATCACAGAAATCACCGATCACAGCAATCACCGATCATACCGGCCGGTCAGCCGACTGACCGACTGCCTGAGAGGGGTCAGGCGAGCGCCTGCGTGACCCGGCACAAAAGAGTCGCGGCGCCGTTGCCGCAGCTCGAGGGGGCGAGCGGTGGCGGCGGTCGCCGTGTCGTTGTGGCGGCTTGGGCCTACCTGGTAGGTGTTTGGCCAGAAGACGCTGACGGCGAGTTCCGTGCGCACCCAGCGGTTGGCCGCGGCGGTGGCCCGGGCGGCACTCCACACGGGGTGGCCCAAGCCTTCGTTGTTGACGCGCACGTACGCGCTCAGCTGGGGCGGCTCGCCGGCCTCGCCAGCTGCTCCGTCCCCGTCGTCTTTACTCGATGACGGCGACGAAGCAGAGTCCCCACCTCTCCTGTCACCGCCGCCCATGCGGAAGCTGAATGTGATGCAGTGCGTGTCGTTCTCCATGAGCGGCGGCAGTGCCAGGCGTGCACGGCTTCCGGGGGCGCGGCCGGATGAGTCGACGAGCATGAGGTATGAACCTGTGTGCACGCACGTACACACGCACGCACACACGCACGCACACACGCACGCACACACGCACGCACACACGCACGCACACGCCCAGAGATTCTTTAGTATAGACGCACAGGCTGCTGGTGGGTCAAGTGCTGTTGGTGAGCATCTTCGAAGGTCGGCGTGGCGCATGAGAGCGGGTGGCCAGCACCACCATACTCACCCACCTCTTTCTCTCCAATGCCGATGTGTTCACACTGCACCCCAAGTACCCAGACCAGAGTCAATCCAATGAATGGGCCATGACCAGTTACGATATTCGCCACCAATGTTGGCCGTAAGCAGGCATCGAACCGGGGCCACCAGGTTTGTACCGCAATGCAAAAACCACGACACTACGGCTCTCCACCCAGACCCACACGCGCTCCTCACGCACAGGACGCGACGCCACGTAGAGACGATGTCGGAAGGTCATGCATGGTACCAGCCGCATCAAAACCGACTTTAAACGGCTCATGGTGTTAAATCCCTCGAGTCCCTTACCCAGTGGTGGGCCTTTGGCTCATGTGGCCTCCATCCTGTCCACTCTCGAGCTCTGTCCTTCTGCTTCCCCATTTCACCGCGTGCCCACCCCTCAAGCGGCATCGCCCGTTTCCTGCCTCCTGGCCCATTTCCCGTCTCTCGCCCTTCCAGAACGTCCTTCATTGAGCACACGCCTCCAAGGATCTGTCCGATCCACATCTATTGCTTTTTCTTGAGATTGTTCTCATGAGACGACTTGACTTCTGCGAAATTAGACCGTGCAATGTTGCCACCAGCAGAGCACGCAGCAGGCTGCCACACTCAGGGCACGCGTTCACGATTATGTCAGCCGCTCACGTGCTTTGCCACCATGCGCTCTCTCGCTGAGCGCAGCTCAAAGAGGTTTTACCATTTAGGCTGTGTTGGTCGCGAGCAGGAATCGAACCCAGGTCATCCCAGAAAATGATGTCTAAGGCGTCTAAGGGTGCTTAGGGGGCCACGATGAGCCCCATCGGGTTGAGCCCGCCCGCTGGCTATGGGTGCCGGCGAAGCTGCTCGGCCACGAATCTCACACCGGTCGACGACAGGGGATGGTCCCCGGTCCCCACAAGCCGGCACTGACCGTGCCGCGCGACGCTGAGCGGGGACGCTGAGCGGAGCAGGGCTGGAGAAAGTGGTGATAGTGCACGGAGAAGCCGTGACCTTACGTCGCGCTGCGAGGTCGCACGCTCGCTCAAAATCTCAAGCGTGCGCTCTCAGGGACGGTGTGCCGGCAGTTCAATCGCCGAGAAATACTCACATTAAGTGCTTATTTAACACGGGCATGTAAATCTTTTTTTAACCGGTTATGCTGCAATTTTAATTTAGGTGCAATGATGTTTAAAATCCTGCGGGATTTACCTTCCTAATTTCCTCTGCAAATTAGTTATGCCACACAATTCATTTTGTGGAAGGCTGAAAGTACAATGTTCATATTGCACCTAAATTACATCGCTGATCTCTTTTGTGAAAGTTTGCAGGAGAGCGAAGGCAGAACGCGGCGACCTCCGCGAGCAGCACAGAGGTAGGCGGAATTTTACAAAGCAACCCTGACGGAGTCAACCCCCGCCTCTCGCTACTACTAGGCCATTGTGCTTTACATCCCCCCCCCCCCATCCATGCAGAGCTACTCGCTATTCGCCGCGCCTAATTGTGCCACAGACGAGGCCGCGCTCCTCTGGCCGCGAGTGCGAATCACTTCGCAGTGTTTGACTTTGCAAGAGTGGGACGCATGACAAAAACTAAAAAAAGAAACCCCACGGTCTGACTTTAGGCATTACTTGGAACGACCTTCTTAAACAAAATCAATTGTCATTCTCTTGTAAGCACCAGATTACGCCAGGTAAACCCATTAACTGGCTCTCGTGGTTGGGATTAACCGGTGTAAGTGTGCTGCGCAAAGAAGCCGGCTTGGACAGCAGTGGATTAAACGCCGAGCCGACAGAACCCGGCCGGCCGCCTGCCCAGCGGCAAGCCCCCGGCACGCGCCGTGCTGGGCACACTGTAATTAGAAACGGTAAATTGCCACCGCTAAGAACAGTGTCAAAATGGTACGACACTGCAATTACGCCGCATTTCACATATTCTCAGCGATGACTGCTTTTGTTAATAATTGTGCATTTCTAAATTGTGTTTGTTAAAAGCGCCCCTTGCTTAACGAAAACAGTCACTGTTATGACCGCTAAAAATACATTTCATGGGTGTGTTTTATTCTCTTTCAGAGATTTACAATTCAGCATTGCTCTTCAATCGCACTTACTTTTCTTTTACTGCGATGAAAGTGCCAGAAAGGGGCCCTTTATGTGCGAAATAAAAGCATTTTAAAAACAGTATGACAAGGCTCATCCAAGAGGTAATTACTCCGGCGTGTGTGCACTTGACAGATAGGAAGCGGTGCCTTTGCCTCATGTGGTTAACAGGACACTCCATTCTCTCCTCTCTCCAAAACCGCCACTTAATGTACGGTCTGGAGATGCGCTTTGTGATGGAAATAAATCTGGCCGTCTCCCCCGCATCAAAACCTAATCACTTCTCTCGATGAGCTCTTTGGTGGTTGCGCGGAGATTTATTGCACCGTGAGACGCGACGGCGCCCGCAGACCGTCCACCGCTCTCCGGTCATCGGTCCGAGCGCCGCGTGACGAGACCCCTTCTTCGGATTCGGGCTCGTGCCTAATTACGGACTAACGAGCTCTTAAGTGGCCGCATACATCATCGGCTTTGCGGGCGAGGCTCTCCGAGGAGAGATTCACGTGGAATCTCGGCGTGAAGCGAGGACTGCCCCAGCGTGGCCTTCCGACGGCGCGTCCCGGCGCGTTCGGAAAACGAAAACAACGTCACGGCAGCAAAGCGTGGCGCTTCGTGGCACAATCCCGGGAGCAGAGCGCGGGAGACAGGAACGCGGTGGGGTGCGGTGGTGCGCCATTGCGTTCTCTCCACAAAAGATGCGTGCCCACATCGGGTTCGTCACAGCTTTAGCATGGACCTCCCTTAATGGTCTGCTACAATAAAACAAGACATTAATTTTATATACGACTAAACAAACAGCCGCTGCTTCAGCTAAAAACAATATGACTCGGGGCATTAGAACAAGCCGAGGGTTTGTGTTTCGCGTCTTGCTTAGACGAAGTGAAACTCCGTGTTGGCTGACGAGCCTCGCACAAGATGGCGTGCTGGGGGGGGGGGGTTCAGGCAATGAAAAGTTCTCGCAATCCCTTTTAATAAACGTCTGCTTCATCACTTTCAATATTCTTACCGATGTGTAGCAAAAGATGGAGATGGAATGACTTCAAGCTTTCGAGACTGCAGGAATTCATATTCTTTGGGTCTTTCGGTATTGTCAAATTAATAAAAAATTATAAATGTAAAATAAACAAAAAAACTACGACGTTTCGATCATAACATAAGCGATCGTCATCAGGAGGAAAGAGGGGAGGGTGGTAGGGGGTGATGACGATCGCTTGTGTTGTGATCGAAACGTCGTAGTTTTTTGTTTATTTAATATATTTAGTTTTTATTAATTTGTACCTATTTATGTGACTTTACCGAAAGACCCAAAGAATACGTGGAGATGTGTGTGCGCTGTGCCTCTAGAAGTTATTCGGACCAATGGCGTAGAATCATTGGCATGGGTCCTACACAAGTATTGCCCCCAAGCCCCTTTTTCCCACTTCCCGCTCTTCAGAGCCGGGCTCATAGACCCTTCCGGCGGCCTGTGGGACCACAGATAGCCACGCCACTGCCCAGGACCTGCTATTCTACATAGGACCACGATGGTCATTGTTGCTCTCCGTCACAATGTACCACGTCGAATTAAGGAACAATGCCAAGACTGCGACCTCTTCACACCACAATGAGTCCCCATAAGCATTCTTATTTTCACGGGCAGGGAAAAAAAACGCTCCGTAAAAACCCTGACCTCCATATCGCCCTGACCCACCGCAACCCTCGCCACAATCCACGGTGCGTTAGAGGAGAGGTTGTGGCCAATTCCCAGCAGGGAGGATGAGTGGGAGCGAGCGAGCGAGCGGGGAGGGCGGTGAGCGACAGAGCGGGCAGGCGAACGAACAAACGAACTGTGGGACCAACGCGGACGGAGGGAGGGAGGGTGGCTTGGCGAGCGAGCGAGCGAGCAGCCGAGCAGGGGAGCAGGGGAGCATGCTGGCTAGCTGGCTGGCGAGTGTCCCCTGAGAATTAATAACAAGTGGCTGATTATGACCGCGTGTCGGCTCTGGGTTTTTTCGTGCACGGTTTCCGTCACGCAGGAGTGAGCCGCCGCTCGACGCCTAATGAGACGGCTGGCGGCCGCTCCGCACCACTGGGGGGGGGGGGGGGGGCCTCGCCGACATCCTCGGAAGCGCCGGGCGCGCGACCTCGACAAGCGAGCGGCTGCCGAGATTTTTATTTATTTCATATTACCGATCAATCCATCTCTTGATGTGAATTATTAAACAGCCGATGCCCACCTTCACAAGGAATGCACCAGATCGTCAGATCTGTAAGCTCACCAGGGCCGAGCCTGCACCGTGCTTGGATGAGCGACCACGTGCAATGTCGATTGTCACTTTCAATCCTGAAGCACCACAGCCAATGAAACAAGATTACATTGTGGGCATCAGAGGGCGGTGTGGTAACATCGTGGTTGTACCGTAGTTCTATGCTCTCTAACTTCACCAAACCGTGGAGAGGCCCTCATTCAGCAGTAGATTGACAAAATGGCTGAACATATGCAATGCATTTCGCCAGGTGAAAAGAATGTAACAGGGAGCCCTGGGAAGTAAGACAAACTGCAGTGCAACAGAAATTACTTAGCCAAGCTCATCCACACCCTGAGCCAGTGCTGGAAATTCCACATTGCTATGACAGACCACAGGACAACCATTGTTGTGCAATGGTGCAGGACAAAGGCATTGAAAACCACGCGGCTGCATCATAATCTTCAAAAGCACCATCAGACATGGTCAATC